AGTTCCTCATGTTGTGACCCAACCATAAAATTATTTTCGTTGCTACTTCATAACTGTAATGTTGCTACTGTTATGAATCATAATGTAAATATCTGATATGCAGGATGGTCTTAGGCGACCCCTGTGAAAGGGTCGTTCTACTGCCAAAGGGGTCGCGACACATAGGTTGAGAACCGCTGGACTAAAGGCTTAGGCCCGCTCCCCGGAGGCTGCCAGAGGGATGTCTGACTTCCATTTTAGGCCTAAGCCATCAGTCAGACATCCCCTGAGGGTTCCCAGACTGCAAAAGGGCACAGGCTGGGCTGAGGGACCCTCATCCCCCAAGTGCATGAATTTTCATGCATTGGGCCTCTAGTATAGAATAAAAGGGTGCACTTGGATATTCAGCATCTGCTGGTTTTACGTGGTCAAAATCTTCTCAACAATGTTGATGCTTTGGTTTTTCCCACGTTCACTTATATAGTGGCTCTTCTGTCAGTATTCATTTCTACTTGGTTACTCTTATGTAAGTAAAGGTGTGAAATCAAAGTTCTTGTATCATGAAACATGATTCATATGATAACATGATATATTTAGCATAATACTGTAACCATCACTCGACATGTTTTACAAACATCAGATTAAACAGCTTTGTGCATATATTTATAATAAGCTGGCATATACTCATGTTTGTTTTTATTTTGAATTAGCAGCACACCTCTTATTCCTTTGTAGTTCTAATAATAACAATAATGAATAAAGGACCCCTCTGATCTGTCATTCATGCAGTGACATTCCTTGTAGATAATCGCTCAGTGCCTGATTTATGACTTGTTTAGTTCACTCAGGAGTGACAGATACTGGTTGGTGGTGAATTGCATTTTAACCAGAGACAGAGCTTGAATAATGCAAGAGAAACAATGTGCATCTTATTATCCTGCCTGATGAGACACAAACATCCCCTACCTCCAGATTTATATCTGTAACTGCAAGAGACACTTGGCTGCCTGTTGAACAATTATTCCTGCTTTTTTGCTGTCTTTGGAAAAGCAATAGGATGTGGGCTGAGTTTCAAAAGATTCTGCTTTCCAAGACATGGAGCTGCCTGACTTTGCAGCAGGTCACTCAGTCAGCGAGCTGCCAGCATCCAGAAGGACCACTGCAGGATGGCAGGGTGTGTGTCCACATGTAGTTCAGCCCCTAAAATGACCTGTGCGGTGAACTAAGCATACACTGCACACCAAACACACTCTCTCCCCTGTTTTCTCAGCAGGAGATTGTGTTTGAGCATGTCTATGTAAAATGTGCTTTGTCACCTTGTAAAATTGGTTCAGGGTAGTTCGGAGAGAGATGAGGGATTCTCTGTGGAAAGAGGAAGCTGTGGGCCAGTCTGCTTCACATGACTGTATCCTCCTGACATGAGAATCCTGACTGGGATGGTATAGTGAAGTGGACATGGAGCATGACATGGACTCCCTGACAGTCACCCCTGGGCACCCTGGGGCTACGGTAGGCGCCATGTGGAAAGCCATCTCTGGGGTTGGGGCGATCACTTCCCAATGAGATTCTTGTTTATAAGCCCTTGCTTGGATTGTTGGTGTCTTCTTCCCACTTTTTCTTCTTTCTGTGTTGTTCCCCATGTTTCTATTAGCTGCTGAGTCAGGTTTCATCTGGACATTTATCCCATCTAGTTGGTTGTGAAACCCTCTTCTTCTTAACCCTGTGTCAGCCTGCTCCGCACTTGGGTTTCTAAAGCATTGTTTAGCATTCCAAATCCTCTTCGTGAATATTGTTAACATAATGAATTGTTCTTGTGCAGCCCTTTATGTTTTTGAGTATAGGGTAAAGATAAGTGTATAGGCATGAGGTCAGACTCTCTGGATTCAGGACATCACCTCTGCCCTGCCCCCCATTGCTATTTGTATGAACTTGGACAGATTATTAAACCTCTGGGCTTTAGTGTCTTCATCTATGAAACAGGGAGAATGGTCCAGAATTTACCTCTATGATTCCTGTGAGTTTAATGAGCATATGAATGGGAGCTCTGAGCTCAGAGCCTGGCAGGGCAGCAGTGACACACCACAAATATTGTTAAATCATAGACCTGACCTTGAGCTGGAAGATACCATGACCAATCCCTTTATCTTTGTAGCTTTTCACTTTCCTACATACCAGAGATATTTACTGTGTAGTTTTCATGCTACTTGTCCCCAGGTTAGTAGCAGAAGACAGTGGTTGGGAGAGTGTATGATATAGCTTGTGGTCTCTGCTTCATGCCATATCCACATGTACTGGTTACTGTCATTCTGAGCTAGACATATCTAGTCTTGGACCATCTTTCTTTGCTTTCTCTTTTTTAGATAAGGTTTGTTGTTGTTATTGAAGATGATGATGGCTTTTTGTTTGTGTTTCGTGCAATGATCAAATTGTAGCCTGGTTATAGGAGCCTGAGTGCAGGAACTCTTCTGAAATGATTTAGCCTATTATTTCCTTTATGAGACAAATATAATTTGTACTTGTTCTGTATCTTAGCTTTGGGGATCTGCTTCAGAGGTACTTCTGTTTTGGAAACTCATAGTGAACATGGTTTCAAAATTTCCCCCAACATTTTGCTTTATGTGCCAACAAACACCAGTCAGAGGTATACAGCCTCCTGTTTTGTGAGCCTCTCTCCAGGACATAAAGGCATGTTGTAACAGTAAATATATATATTTTAAATATCCAGGTTTAAAGCAACAGTTATCTAATAGTATGTTTGGCAGTATATAGGATGTCCCAAAATTGATGCAAGATTTGAATTTTGCGTGAGCATTAACAACATCAACAACAAAAAATAAAAGCCTAATTTTACTTGGTTTATTGAATCAGATTCTAATATCTGTTGCCCTTTGATTTCAATCCCTTCAATTTGATAAGCATTACCAAGTACCAATTATGGCCCAGGAGCAGGGACAATGAAGACTGATGAAGACCACAGCTTTGTGCATGTGCCAGCAAAGCTGTGGAGGCCATTTACCCGATGTGCTATTCCATACATAACCCTATACTGTATACTTTATGAATCAATAAAAAATTTACAATTTTTAATTATAAACCCGTGTTTTCTATCAAATTACTCTTTGCGTGACTTTTGGGACACCCTATATAAGTTAAAATCATTTCTTATAGATTTCTCTTTGTATTACTTGCTATTCTTAAGTGACTTAAGAAAAACATAATGGACTGAAGAGAAAAGCACATTACATATGCAATTTAGATTATTTGCTGCACTTTTAGAATGTAAAATTTAATTAAATTTAAATACTTTGTGAGGACAGAGAATGTATGCCTTGATTGAAAACTAGCTACAGTCCTTCTGGAGAGCATAGTGGAGTGCTCAGTGCCACCTTCACGATAGCCTCTGAATCAGTGCCTACATTTCAGATCTGAGGTGAGCCTGTTGTGTGTCTTACTCTGACCATTATTGGGTCCATATTTGTAGTTGTCCTGCCAATAACATACCTATTGGTGCAATCTGACAAAGTCCAAGGCCAATTGAATTTCCCCCCAAAACTAATTGTCCCTGAAATGTGTTCTTGTGGATAGTAGTGGTCTGTAACTTTCCATTAATTTTGAACACCAGAAGTTACTGCTATACTAGAGGCCCGGTGCACAAAATTCATGCATGGCTAGGGTCCCTAGACCTGGTCGGGGATCAGGGTTGATCAGGGCCAATCGGGGCCTTCCAGCTGCTGGCTGGGGCCTCCCTTCCCTGGCTGCCGGCTGCCGGCCGGGGCCTTCCTTCATTCTGTGCCACCCCCTGGTGGTCAGTGCATGTCATAGCGAATGATCAAACTACTAGTCTCCCAGTTGAACTCCCGCCGGGACAATTTGCATATTAGGCTTTTAGATATATAGATTATTTTAATTGCATCATAAAATTCAAACACTTGATGATTGAATGAAAAATTCTTAGCAAGTGGGAAAATAAGAATCAAACCTGTTTATTGGAGGTTTTTAAGATGATTATTGGGGCATTTCTGTGTCTGAGAGGGTATCATCTGTATTATTGATAGGCTTAAACACGGAGCTATGAAGACGCACTTTCAATGTTGTATGTAAAAACTTAGTGGATACTCTATATAATTCCTAAAGGTTTTGTCATACTTCTGTCATTTCAAAATCCCTATTTTTAAGCTAATTATGAGACCAAAAAGGTGTGGCCAGTGACTCTGTCTCAGTGCACTGCATTTCTCTAAATGGATGCACCAGCAATTCAGAAAAAGAAAACAAGGGTTAATCCTCACAGTTGTGTGGTTACCATAGTGATGGGAATTGCTAAAGCTAATTCAGGACATAACCTTACAGTCTCAGTTATTGCTTCGGTTTTCAAAAGTGAAAAACATTTTTAAAGTCCTTATTAAAAGCATACAAATTATGTCTGGCACACGTGTGTATTTTAGTAAAATTCAAGAATTTCATTGTCTTATTATACAAAAATGATATTAGCCATCTATACAGGGTGGGGCAAATTTTGGTTTACAGTTGTTTGTATGGAAAGTAATAAAATAATAAATAATAATACAGGAATAAGCTCTGTGTTTCATGTATTCACAACTGTAAACCTACTTTTGCCTCACCCTGTATTCTGAATCACATTTCATCTTTTTAACCTTATTTCCTCTCTCTTTCTGAAGATTATGTAAGATTATATACTTTTGTATTATCTACAAATACAGGAATAGGTAGGTTATTTCTTTAAAGTATACTGCCCATTCGGTATTACTGTCATGTTCGTTTGACCCTGCATTAATTCAGGAAGCTCACCTGTGGAATTATTAATGGTCATTTCTTATCATGTAGAACCTGTGTACAGAGTTCCACCCAGAAGCACAGAGCAGTAAGATGCTCATAGGGCCCCCCATTCATCCTATAAGATGTTTACACAAAACCAAGCCTCCTGGGAAGAAATAATGAGCAGGCAAGACCTAAAGAAATAGTGTATTGATGTTGAGACTTTTCTTTTTTCCCATTATTTCCAGAACCAAACTTCGTGTCATCTTATGCCATCGGGAATTTCACCTACTTCTTTTTCCGAGAAAACGCTGTGGAGCATGACTGTGGGAAGACCGTGTTCTCCAGAGCTGCCCGGGTCTGCAAGAATGATGTTGGGGGGCGGTTCCTGCTGGAGGACACCTGGACCACCTTCATGAAGGCCCGCCTGAACTGCTCCCGCCCCGGGGAGGTGCCCTTCTACTACAATGAGCTGCAGGGCACCTTCTTCCTGCCTGAGCTGGATTTGATCTACGGCATCTTTACCACTAATGTGTACGTAACTGGAAATAATTGCTTTCCCTGCTCTTCTACTCATTCTGAACGAGTCTATTGTTCTTTGACCTTTGTGGTTAAAACATTGCTTTAAAAAGAAATCTTTCTTATTTTACTGGGATAACAGCCAAACATTTTTTTGTTAGTATGAATTAAATGTTGTGCTAAGATCTGTGACTTCTGAGACTGGTATTAGGGAAATACAGCTAATCCAAAGGTTTTGCTCTATCCTTATTGTAATAGTAGCATCCAATTGTTCTGCTCTAAATTTCTCCTTTCCGACTTGCCAGTGTGTTCTTAGTACTTTAGGAAGTGCTGGTATGTATTAGATGTGTGTGTATGTTTTTCTGTTTGCATGTTATGTATTTGTCATAATGAAAGCACTGTTGTCTGGAAAGTCTGGTCGTTGAGATAATGTAACTCTTGACTAAACCGCGGCTCATGTAGGAAATGCACATTCTTACTTTCCCAGAGTTGATTTGAAGCCACTGTTCTAGAAGATGGCTATCCTAGGCATTTCTAAAATGATGGTTATGCTTTTAAAAATACTTTTGAAAAAATAGCATTTCTTTTTCTTTTGTGGGGAGATACTCTTAGCTTCAGAACTGACACTGTTTGGACTAGATGAAGTGTATGAAGTTTCTGATCTTTCAATTCACCCTAATCTGGTGGACTGGAGCACAACCCCATTCTCAGCTGATGTGCTGTGATAAGACTCAACAAGTTCACACCCAAGCCCAGGCATCACAGATCACACTGCCACTGGCCTCCATCCTTCTCACTGTTGGCAGTGAGCAGGAGGATTCCACAGCCTGGATTCTGTTTGGATCACCTTTGAAATTTTAAACTGTTAACCTAACAGTTTGTACAATATCCCAATATTTATAGCCAACATAAAGGTTCTGAATCAGGACGGGTTGAAAGTGCTGATAAATGGGGTGGGATGACCAGCCATCTGGGTTTGTCTGGAATTGTCCTGATTTTGGAGTTGGGGAGAGCCCTGCATCCCGGAAAACCTCTCAGTTCTCAGTAATCTGGAATAGTCCATCCCCCTATGACATCTCTTGGGCCTCTAAGTCTTTTTACTTTTTCATCTCTTCTGCCCATGAATCTGCATTTTACTTTTCTGTTGATCTTTCCCTCCTGATCTTTCCACTGCTGAGCTGAAGTGTTAGCATCCACTTGATAAAAGCATTGACTCCATGAAGCAACTTCATTCTGACATGAAGTGAGAAAAATAAGACTACAATGAATGACTCCCTACTCAACACCACCCTGCCATGAACATCTTTATTGTAAATCTGGCTTTCAACCCCAGAGGTTATTTTCCTCCGTGATAAGTTTCTTTTAAAAAATCAATTTATAGTTTCTGAAGTTGATTTGCTTTCCAAAACCTTTTTAAAGAAATAGTGTAGGCTGCACAAGATGAATGTTCTGTTGTTCCATTGACATCAATTTTATACACAATGGGAACTTGGCTTCGTTAGCTGTTCATCCCCCTAGCTCTGGGCTCAAATGAACAATTTAAAAAGTTAGATATGTACTATGCCTAGGCCATTCCAAGATGGTAAGTGATCAATATAGGTACTCACAAAAATAAGTTTCAGACTATTATTTGTTTTGTGTTATAAACACCCATCATGTTGGAAATCAGCCGATATATAGCTTCTATACTAGCAGAGGCAGAATTTCTAGATCTTTCCTTTATCTATCGAATATTTATTCTCACTGGGTCTTGGGAACAACTTTCCAATATATCATCTATAACCCCACAGTGCATCCCACTTTTCCTCCCTCTTTACGTCTCAGCCTTGATATTACCCTCATTCAGTAGCTGGGTGCCTTTGGGCAGGTGTGTCAGCCTAACTGCCCAGTTTTTCTTGTTAGTAACTGTCCCTTATCTTAGGACAACTAAGTGAATTAGAATTGGTAAAGGCTCTCAAATGGTGTCTGGTAACTAGTCTGTGTATGTCAAACAAACCAAATGGAAGGAAGGCAGATATTTCTGTTGTGGAGTTCCTCTGGAATTTCTTTTGATTCAGAAAAAATAATTGATAAGTTGACTTATATTGGTTAAGACTCTTAACAAGAAAATTTAAAACCAAAGCTGAGCTCAAATGCAGATCTATTTAGCCAAAAACTATCTTGTTGTTTCCTTGCTAGTAGAAGGTCATGAATTTCTGAGGGCCAGCAGGTATGCATCTCTGCAGAGCTTGTAGTCTAAGTTATGGCTTCAAGATATCAGTGTATTCTCAAATTTTTTCTCTCTGGCCCTTTTTAAATTATTAACAAATACATGAAGGGTGCCTATCAGGAACTTTCTGCAAAATGCTTTTAGTTGATTCTTTTTACAAGGTTTACAAATAAACACAAATGTTTGGGGGTTAAAAAAAAAAAGAAGCACTGGCTTGGCCCACTGCCCGCTAAAGTCACCAGATAACCAGGGGGAAGGGGCCATGCTAGATGCTGGGAGGCGCCTCCACTGGCAGAGAATATAGTCTTTTTCCTCCAGAATTTAAAAGGCATAACATAGAGCTCTTCAAAATCCTTGTCACTCGGTTGTGGCTGAGTGAATTAATCCTACCCGGCAGGATTACAAGTGCCATAACTGCTAAATAACCCTGTTTATATGCTGAAATGTTTGATCTTCCACAAAGAAATAACAGAGTGCACCATTATGGCCCCCACTTCATCCTGGGGGTGTGTAAGAGGCTGGGACCTTGAGATTCTCTAGAAGGTATGTCCCCTGGGCGGTGACCTAGCGTCTTCTGGAAGACAGTGGTTTCTGCGGGACTTTCTGACCTTCCTCTTCTTGCTCTTCCTCGGTCCCAGGAACAGCATCGCTGCGTCGGCCGTGTGCGTCTTCAACCTGAGCGCCATCTCACAGGCCTTTAACGGGCCCTTCAAGTACCAGGAGAACTCACGCTCCGCCTGGCTGCCGTATCCCAACCCCAACCCCAACTTCCAGGTAATTTCAGGGGGCATTGGGGTACTCAATCAATCATCACCCTTAAAAGTGTGCCGAAACCTTGTAGAGACGGCTGGGACAATTTAAACGCCTGGTGGAGCACAGGCATCTGTGAGCTCCCCTGGCCCCTCCTGGACAGTCCCACACTGGGCTTGGCTCATGTGAATGGACTGAGCCTGTTGTCAACTGAGCCTTTTGTCAATATGAGGAGCCTAGACCAAAAAGGGCCTTTTGTGGACTGTGATGCCTCAGGCTGGACTGGAAAAGGGCATCATAATGCAGCAGTTGGGAGACCAAGCCCTAATTAGTGCTAATGATGGTGGACTCTGCCCCGAAGCTCTGATCCCTAATAATTGATGCTCCTATGAATGGGTTCCAGGGCACAGCCGTGGAGATGCACAAACAGAATTGGAGCTCTCATTGCTGAATGTGGTGAGATTTCCTTTTTGGTAAATGGGATGGCATGGGGCAGCTGCGGGGAAAGGAGAGCAGATGGAGGCCATTCATTCATAAATCTTAAAATTACAGGGCGTTCAACTGGTAAGAGGCTCTGCATGCCATTCAGTGCAGCTCCAATGTGCAGAGATTGAGACCCAAAGAGATTCAGATTTACTCTGGTTTGGTTGGCCAGCAGGTACATGAGTTTGCTGGGCTGCCAAAACAAAATACCACAGACTAGGTGGCTTGACCAAAAGAAGGTTTTTTCTCAAAGTTTGGAGGCTGAAAGTCTGTGATCGAGGTTCTGGCCAATTCTGTTTCTGGGCAGAGCTGTCTGCCTGGCCTGTAGATGGCCACCTTCTCACTGTGTCCTCCTGTGGCCTTTCCTCCGTGCACCTTGAGAGACACTGAACCTATGGGATCAGGGCCCACACTTATGACCTCATGAACCTTAATTACCTCCTTAGAGGCTCCATCTCCAATGACAGGCACTCCAAGGATAGGGCTTCAACGTAAGAATATGGGGGAGACATAGACATTTAGATCATAATAGTAGGCTTCCCTTGAGGCAGTGACGGTGAACCTTTTGAGCTCGGCGTGTCAGCATTTTAAAAAACCGTAACTTAACTCTGGTGCCGTGTCACATATAGAAATTTTTGATATTTGAAACCATAGTAAAACAAAGATTTATATTTTTGATAAAAATTATCTTATATATTTAAATGCCATTTAACAAAGAAAAATCAACCAAAAAAATGAGTTCGCGTGTCACCTCTAACACGCGTGCCATAGGTTCGCCATCACTGCCTTGAGGGCTTCTCTTTTGACAGAAATAGTCATAGGATCCTCCTCCTTCCCATGGGTGTGTGTTTAGTACCACCCAGTTCGAGAAGGCGCTCAGTGCCTCGCTGCATCATGTTACATGCTGGCAGAAACACTCTGACCCTTAACAACATCTCCAGGGTGACAATCCTGCCAAGGACACTGGGGTTAGTGACTGAGCTGGGGTCCCAGCTCAGGTCCTTCAATGCCAAGCCCAAACCTTTGCCTACTAAAGGACCATTAGTTATCCTAATTAATCAGTCCCGTATCCAGGCCTCCGAATTCTGGTTGGTTGATCATCCCCACGCATACAACCTTTGCCTTTGAGAAAACTGGAGGTATGGAAACGTTCAATTGTTTTACACCTTACTTCAAATTCGGCGGAGATTGTTCAATTCTAATTTAATTGCTTTGAAAAAGTTGGGGTTTTTTTTACATTTTTAAAAAAGAATGGGATTGAGAATAAAAAGGGTGGTTATACGTCCTCTTCACCATTGTTTTCTTTACTTAGACAATATACTTAGGATCTTTCATATCATACTTTCATCAATAAAATGAGGAAAGAGTGATACAACTATGCAGGCATACATATTTTAACAGTAAATATTTATGATATCAATTAATGTGCATTGCTTACTGCATAATTTACATGATGAAGATGACTCTTAGGGACCATTTATTGGGTGCCTCCTCAGTGTCACATGTTGCAAATGCTTTATAAACTTTGTCTTATTTTCTCCTCTCAGCAACTCTGTAAGGTGGGCATCTGTATCCACACTTTACACATCAGGTAATTGAGGGATCAGGTTTACATTTATTATCCTAGGCTTGCTAATGAGAAAGTTCAGTGCTGGACAGAAAAAGTCCTATTTTGGGTCAGATGAGCTAACAAGGGGAACCAAACCTGCAGTAGTCACTTTTCCTGATGACATACATGCTTTATATAATTATTAACTCAACACTGACTCTTGGCTTCTTTGTTGAGTCTCTGTACGTAAATCACACCCATGTCCAGATGAAATGTAACTATTTAAGAAGGCCCTTTGTAAAATCCAGAAGGTGAAATAAACCATTCCCTTTAATAGAGACCATTGCAAAATCCTGAAGGTTAGAAATGTTTAACAAAGATGCTCACTATATTTAGAATATACTTTTAATTCCTGATGCTAGTATTGCAAAAGTCTTCCCAAAGAACAGACTTAATAAACTCTGGGAAGCCTTACCGCCTCCAGGCAAGGGGTAACTTTTAGCTCCTTTATCTGGATATATTTGTAGCCCAGGAATATCTGCTCCCTGCCTGAGGCCACGGACATGCGGTTTTATACAGCCAGTGCACACTGAAGGGCTTACATTTATGAGATGGCAGTAGGTCCCATCTGCAGTTTAATAAATGAAACTGTGGACACTGGGCTCTCACTTTAGGCAGGAAGCTCGCTCAGCCGAGTTTTTCTTCTTTGGGTGGCATTTAAGATTTGTGGGAAAGTAAAGTTAACGCATTAGGGTGGTTCTTACTATAGCTCCTAGGACAGACATGTTCCAGGTGTTCTCTTTAGGCTCACCTTGTTTGAAACCACGCTAGCTTAGGCTTTCTTACTGACATTTCTGAGATTCTCTACACTGACATAAAGTGGAATAGGTTTTGAACTAAGTCCCCCTCCACTAGTCATGTATAAAGGGCTTTATGTTTGTAATAACCAACGGTGAGAAGTGGTTAGCTTTTTTATTTATGTTTTTATTCTTGTTTGCCTACCAACATTTGGAATTTTATGTGGTACTTACATACTAGAAGTAGCTATTAATTAGAGAAGCAGAAAGATGTTTCAAGTTCAGGAAGAAGTATGGGTTAGGAGAACAGTGCATAGTCTTTCAAGATTTAATACAGAAATCTCAATTGAAAAGGATGAAGAAGCAACAACTATTTATTTATCAATTGCACTAGAAACCACTATAGGTGGTGCTGCGAAACCCTGCCCTGTGTGAGGCCGCTGTCCCGTCATCCAGACCCACTTCCTTACAGAAAACATCCAGACCCAGTGGTACCCAGCTGTGGCGTACAGACTGGACTCTTCTGGGCAGTTTTCATTAGCCACGATCAGAAATGATGGAGCTGAAATGCACAGCACACCTGCCCTGGTGGCCAAGCAGATGAGGACTGAAAGTCTAGCCCTCTAAATCACAGGGTTGTTTCCTCTGGCAACCAGCCCACATCCTTAGATGCTATCCAAAAATCACCTCATTAACATACCAAAAGATGCCTTTATCCCTCTCATCACTTAGGAAATTCCTAGGGTTTTAGGAGCTCTGTGCCAGAGACAGGAAGAAGACCAAATGTATTATTCTTATTAGAAATCACAGTATCACAAGGCGATGACTTAAGTAAGATATGAGGTCCGGGAGGAACAACAAGGGGTGGTTGGTGACCCTGCTACACAGTGCTAGCCCAGACACCACCAGGTCTCCCAGATCTCCTGATTCCTCATGAGCAGTGAGAGCTCCTCAAATTCATTGTCCAGATTTTTATGATGACAATCTTTAGAAAACACTGTACATACAAAACAAAACCTATGTGCAAAACCTCACCCAACAGGCAGGTTAATTAAGTACTGCCATTGATTTAAGGAAGAGTAAACACCAAACATAAAGTCACTCTCAGGACTAGAACTCCCCTGGATAGACTTCTGGCCACATCAGGTAGAGCTGTCTTTCATTTTGCAACACATTAGTTAACAGGTAATGGCCCTGTCCTTCAAGTGTTACTACTATATGTGATGTTTATGTGAAATCTCCTAGCACAGTCCCCCCTGGCTGAAAATCAACTGCTAGCGTATTCACCCATTGATTCCTTCCTTCCTTTATTTATTCATTCATTTCCCTCTGGCCAGTGCAGCTCAACGGACCATAGAATTGCTGTTCTGCTACAAGACAAATGCATTGACCAGTTACTGTGCCAGGCATACCGTCTCATGCCTTGGCATTTACAAGCACTTGCAATTAATTCACAAATGCTCTACACTGGTTATCTCAGTCGGTTTCACAGAACCTGTAAAGTGAGCACAGTGTTTTTCAAGCAACTTTATAGGCAGATGCAGAGGCTGGGAAGCAATGTATCACCTGAGACCACATGGCTCTGTGGTGGCCAAGCTGAGCCCTTCACCTGACCGCATGTGGTCCTGTTGCCTGGCATGTGAGGTGCCCCGCAAGGATGTGCCTTTAAATGAAGCATTGGACCAGACTCAAAATCTATTTCATTCCAAGATTCTCTAATTCTACAATCAGCTATTGTTTTATGGCATGTAGGACATTTTTATCAAGAGCGACATAAATATGGTTTTTAAAAAGCAATTTCCATCTTACCTGTTATTAAACCAGGTATTAGAAATGGCACGTTATAAAGGGTAGTTTCAGATGGTATGGACAGGGAAGTTTATTTTTATCAAACCGACTTATATGAAGTTCTGACAAGGATCAGCCTTTATTGGAACTAGGATTTAAAGTTTATGAAAGGAATGAGAAAGGTCGGTGGTAATTTTCTAATTCTGTGCTCTGTCCCAGGAAAGCTTTGCTTTCTTTTCTATTCCTCTTTTTCATCTCCTCCTTGCCAAAGAACATCCTACGTAATACCTGCCAGACTCTGCAAAACCCAGCTCTGAATTTAATTCTCAGCAATTTCTAGGCCGATCCTCCCCCCCAACCCCCACCACACACACACAACTGCCTATTCTAGATTCATCATTATATATTTTCTCTGTCTGAAAACATCTTTCCTTACTTCCTTCTTCTTTCCCTTCTTTCACACTTTTCTCTCTCCCCACCACCCTCCCTCCTTCCCTTTTTAAAGACAATCTCGTTATTCCCTCTCTTTCTGTAAATTTGCCATGTTATTTCTCATCTTGTTTCAAAAAGCTTGGAAGATGAGTGCAAAGCAATGAAGCCAGCACAGTGTTCCTGTTGCCCAGGAGAAAGATATTAAAATGGCCTAATTCTATCTCCATGGAATCCGTATCTTGCTTATGGACCCACTGCTCCAATAAGAAAACTAATAAATCCGTGTGCTGTATTTGATTGCTGCATTTTCAATTTGTGTACCTGATTGTCAGACAGATATAAGAGTGTGCATTTAGTCAGACAGCTCCCACATGACTCAGCCGGCAATGTGGATTCTTATGCACACGCTGTTCAAATTAAAGTTAGCAATGGCTTCCACTTCGTTTATTCTTTTTAACTTCTTTTCATCCATTTATGATAAAGTGGAGAGACTCTTCAAATATAAATTCAAATCTAAAATGAGAGTGACACTAGGGTGGGGACTTTGAGGACAATGGAGAAGCGGGCATGTTTGCACAGTTCAGTTATTCAGTTTCGGAGTCAGTCTTCAGCCAGGTGGCCAGGATCACTGGGTTCCAGGTGGCTGGCTCCAGCAATAGCCTGTCGTCCCTTGCAGTGTGGCACGGTGGACCAGGGAATGTACGTGAGCCTGACAGAAAGGAACCTGCAGGATGCTCAGAAGTTCATCCTGATGCATGAGGTGGTGCAGCCCGTGACTGCAGTGCCGTCCTTCATGGAGGACAACAGCCGCTTTTCCCACATAGCCGTTGACCTGGTTCAGGGCAGGGATGCCCTCATCCACACCATCTACTTGGCCACAGGTAAGTGCTCTCCCTTATCTTCCTCCCTCATCCTCTGTGCTTCCTTTGAGAAATCTTCATTTCTCTCTCTCTCTCTCTCTCTCTCTCTCTCTCTCTCTCTCTCTCTCTCTCTCTACTATATTAGTCATCATTTTAATTGGAGAAACAGTGTCCTATTTCTTAACTATTGTTCTTTAACTTAAAAGAAGCCTTCTTGGGGCAAGTGTAATTGGGATAACTTAAGATGACAGAATTTTTTAGAGGACATTACTGAGTGAAATATTATCCTAGAAACTTCCATCCTCATGGGGACAGCCAATAAGGAGACCACTATTAAGGAAAAGGTGAGAGAGATGATGACAAGTTTAGCCAGTGGGTGTGTATACAGCGATGTGGTAGTGAGAGCTAGGGAAGCTCCTGTAGTAGCTGCTGGGGGGTGGCTTCTCCCAGGAGGTGACATTTAAACTGAGAGCTGACTGAGGAGGAGGAGCTGGCCTTGCAGGTGCCAGATGCAGGAGTGGTCAGCTGTGGGCAGGGATGTGGCCATCAGATCACCAGAGGAGGCCACTGGTGCCTCTGAGGTCATTCTGAGGGAGGGCTGGGAAGGAAAGGAAAGGAGCATGGAGGAAATTAGATGGAAACAGCTGCTCTGACTGAGGCTTCCAGAAGCTGTTCAGTGAAGGCTGGTAGAAGATTGATCTGCTAGCCTGAAGTTTTAAGACTTTGTTGTTTTAAGAGAAAATGTAGAGTTACCACTCCATGACAGTATCTGCCTTGTTCACTAAAGTGTATAAAAGAACCATATCTCTTTTCTGCCATTTTCATCCTTATTTGCCCTCCAGATGCTTGGCATATTCTAGATTGTAGAATTAATGAACTGGACATTTCCAAAAGTTTTCCTAGTTTTTCTTCACAAATGTTCTGATTGATGCCACAGAGAAGAGTTTGGAACTCCAGGAGGCTGTTAAGTTCTTCATCAATACCTGGAAGGGGGTGGCAAACAGGAGATGGGCTGGCCCTGAGCAGGCCTGGGCAAGTCAGTGCAGAGCAGCCGGAGGCCTCTAACTGAGAATTCTGACCTTTTTCACAACCAAGCCTATAAAAAGGTGAAGTTTGCTTCTGCTCTGAGCTTCCAGTGATTTCCAATGACACTCTCCTACTTTAATTGTGACGGTCTTTTAATTCAATCTGCCATAGCAAAATGGCATAGCTGGGTGGCTTAAACAATAGAAATGTGTTTCTCACAGTTCTGAAGGCTGGACTTCCAAGATCTTCCTGGTAAGATCCCTTTTCCTGGTTTATAGAAGGCCATCTTCTTGCTGTGCCCTCACATGGTGGAGACAGAGATCATCTCTCTCTAGTCTCTTATAAGGGCACTAATTCTATTCATGAGGGCTCCATCCTCCTGACCTAATTATCTCCTAAAAGCCCTACTTCCAAATAGCATTACTTTGAAGAAGAGGAATTCAACATGAATTTGGGGAAGACATACTAATTTAGTCTATGGCAATGAGCAACTTGCTCTACCACTATTTAAACATGCTCAAAGGAATGAAATATATATGGTATGTTTGAACAGAATCTAAATCAAATCAAAATAGACCGACTTAGATAAATTATAGATCTGAGATGAAATTATTGTCAACACCTCTGGCTTTTAATTATTTTTATTTTATTTTTTAAATATATTTTTTATTGATTTTTTACAGAGAGGAAGGGAGAATGATAGAAAGTTAGAAACATCGATGAGAGAGAAACATCAATCAGCTGCCTCCTGCACACCCCCTGCTGGGGATGTGCCCGCAACCAAGGTACATGCCCTTGATCAGAATTGAACCTGGGACCCTTCAGTCCGCAGGCCAACGCTCTATCCACTGAGCAAAACCAGTTAGGGCAACACCTCTGGCTTTTTAAACAGTACAGCCTTCAAGAAACTAACTTGCTTGCCCAGGTCTGTTTGGAATGATCTCTCCCTACCACACTATAACCAGGGAATTAGTTCAGGTTGCCATAGGTCCAGCAATTCCAGGCTGTCCGATCCTGTCTCCAGGTTTGCAGTTGTGATTCTGTAACCATACACCATATGCCATTCAGCAAATATGTCTTACAGAGGTACGTTTTCTGTTCTACAGACCTTATTTTTGGCTGTTTTATTCTACTGCCTATTTACAAATTGAATCATGGAAAATACATGAAGATGTTGCTGACTCAAATTACAGGTCGGGATATGGGGGAAGATTCCACACATCGAATGTTTCTGCAATTTCCATGTCTCATTGGTCAGGGTATTTGTTAAACTCAAGGGGAAGAGGAGTTTGCAGTGGGTGAAGGTCCCTTCCAGCAGGGGAACAACCATGGATTCTTGGGTCCTAAAGAGAGTCCTACTCCAAACCACATGTAGGGACTCAGGGCAGACACACAAAGACATCTTTTGGTGACCAGATACACAGAATGCTCTTGAGTTCATTTAATCTAGCTTGGTAATTCTACCTTTAGGACCTCTATGAATTACGAATGTCATGTCTCAACCAAGGTCTGGATCTTCTCATTTATCCTTGATCACACTGATTACTACATTTAGAAAGAGATTTCTTCTTTAGCAAGTTTTAATTCATAATAAAATTTAGTTTTAAAAGATATAATTTTAATGAATCAGTATATAAATTTCTTTTTTATTTCCAAAGTATGGATATATAAATATGGACTATTTAAAAGAATATCTGAAAATTTCTATCTGTTTTAACTTAACCTGTTAAGAGCTGCATAACTCCTCATAGTAGTAGGGATCACAAAGATTAGAGATTCTGATTTTTAAAATTCAAAAGGCTTATGTTTACACATCCTTCTATTGAAATCTTGCCCCAGTAAACTTAAGTCAATGCATACCATGTGCAGCACATCCTGGAATAATGTCATTTGGTTCGACTTTGTTTCATTATAATGTTGAAGAGACAAAAATAAAAATAAAAATCGCGCCCTAACCGGTTTGGCTCAGTGGATAGAGCGTCAGCCTGTGGACTCAAGGGTCCCAGGTTCGATTCTGATCAAGGGCATGTACCTTGGTTGCGGGCACATCCCCAGTAGTGGGTGTGCAGGAGGCAGCTGATTGATGTTTCTCTTTCATCGATGTTTCTAACCCTCTATGTCTCTCTCTTCCTCTCTGTAAAAAATCAATAAAATATATTTTTTAAAAAATCGCTTCTCCCCAAGTGTGCATGGGTTTTCTCCAGATGCAGTGGTTCCACATCCCAAAGATGTAGGCATGAGGCGAACTGGCTTTTCTCAGTTGTCCCAGTCTGACTGAGTGTGGATGTACATGAGCGCCCTGTGATGGGAAGATGTGCTGTCCAGGATGGGTCTCTCTTGTACCCTGAGCTACCAGAAGAAGCTTCAGCCACATATGCCCCTGAACTACAATCAGAAGATTAGAAAAGACTTATCTTACTTGTTTTTATTAATCTTTTTGAAATGTACATATAGCTCACATTTATTTCAATGTTTGGGTCTCTATTTAGAAGTTTAGTGATGTTTTCGTGACCAGAAATATGCTATAGGAACTTAACTCTTGTTTATATCAGTTACCATGTAGTTCCTTTATGTCGTTTCACTTAAAGTCCCAGTTTCCAAGACCCTATCCTGGACTTTGAGGATGACTGTATAATCATTTTCTTTGATATTAAAGCTGATCTTGAGCTCACATGGCTGGGGGTCCTTAAAGCCCAATTGCACATGCTGGACCTTATCCAGGAATTGACAAATACTCAGCTGATAAACCATGAGCTTGACATTTATAGCAGTGAATGTTGAGCTAGAGTACTCCTTAACTTGATAATAAAATCAGTTTATTATCTAAGTTTATTTTCTTCCATCTTGATTTCACATGAATAAATACAAATGGGAGAAAACCTATTCATGGCCATCTGAAAGTTGAGTTATTGTATTTGTCAGTATTATCTAAGTGTCAACATGAAATAGACCTCTGCCAGTAGTGCTGTTCCTGGTGCTTCCCACAGCTCCAATAGGTCTCCCTGCTGGCTTCCACCCCGCCAAGTCACACAGCCTTTCCCAGGCACCTTCTGGGCCTGTTATCTTGCTACTTCCATCTCTCTCATGTAGGACATCCAGCCAGGGCTAAGCACATTATCTGGGCCATTATCCATGCTGATATTTTATGTTATTTCTTTGAAGTTCTTCTCAGATCCAGAGGCAAAATGGCAAATGCTAACTCCTTTAGAATATTTATGACTGGAGTTCTCCAAGTGACTGAGTCTTATATCCAAATAGCTGCTTGGCTCCTCTCCACAAAGACAAAATCTCAGTGGTGTTGACTATGCATGTGTCTGGGAGTCTCCTTGCTTGCTTTGCAAAGCACCGCTCTGTGATGTTCCTTTGCTGGCTCTTCTGCCTGCCTCTCCCGTGGTCCTGTTGCTCTGGCTCTGCCCATTGCTAAGCTTGTGCTAATTCTATGTTGCCTCCCTAGAAATACCACTAGGCTTAAGGGCTATTCCTAGGATGAAATATATTATTTCTATTTTCCCTTTGCCTCGATTCCAGTGTGTCTATAATTAAACATGTATCTTTTTTTTGTACAATCTTGATGCCTCCACAGTATTCTGTCTCACTCTTGTTCAGGCACCGCATCCTATAGATCTGCACCCTCTGTCCTCTGGGCTAACTAATTACTTTATTTTTCCATAATTATGTATCCCCTTAATCCAAACCCTTAACATTTCTAGAGTGCTCTTTTAAACCAGTGTTTGTCCAACTTGAGAATGAGGATGGAGGGCATGTAGAAATACCGGCTCCGAGCCCAGCCCCAAGGAGATTCTGGTTCAGTGTAGAGAGTTGCTGGTTCTAAGAGGCTCCCAGGTGAACCTCACACTGGGCATTTCTGGACCATATCCAAGTAGTGCTGTCCTAGATGAAATAATGCTATTCTTGACCTAGAATCTCTCGGATGCACCTTGCTGCTCTCTCTGGTTAGATGCTGACATCATTGGGAGGCTGATACCAAATCTGTT